TACTTAATCAAACACAAATCGGTTCTTTTCAGAACCATAATTTTTTTCCAAATAAATAACTAGGATAAGAAGAAACAATGCAAATAATTTGAGAGCTCGTACTATTTTTGAATTTAAGTCTAAACATAAATAAAATGGTACTAGGGCTGTAATAAGTAAGCTGTAATATACTAATTTATTTCTTTCTCAATAAGGAAAAAAATTAAATAACGGTGGCTTACTCAAGTTAGAAGTAAAAAATAATTTACTTGTACGTGCCCTTACCTGCTGCTGCGGGCACGCAAAATTTATTTTCGACAAATTTTGTTAATTTGATAATCAAAACAGCATATTTTCAGTTTTTCATAAGGGTCTCAGGTTTTAGTAGTAAGAAGATTTACTCTTACATGCATGCCCTTTTGGAATTTGGAATATACCGTAGATATACATTCATGTATATTACCGGAATATTTGTTTTGAACATACTAGGTATATTCACCTGCACATATACACAATATGCACATACCTGGCATGTTCATCTGCACATATACCCAACATGTACATATATGTACATATCTAGGATATACCTTTTATGAACTTTGATGAATATACATGCATGTATATTCCCGCAATGTTCTGTATATTTTTTGAACATTCTGGGATATTCATAGAATATCAAATGCTATCTGGGTTGGTATACTTTATAAGTGGTATAAATTTTAGTTCCAAATATTCATAACTTTTTGTTCATTCCTATTTGATATGTAAAAAGGGCTCCTGCTAGATTCTAAATACATTTTTCTTGAGACGTCGGAGAGACCTCTGAGGCTGTATTTTACTCGCAAAGAGTTATACTACAACGTACAGTAAATGAAAATTTCATTACTGACTGACCAAAAAAAGTTATGGTACCATTTGCGTGAAACAAATCTAAATTAATTATTGAAAATTAACAAAACGCTGAAATCGACGGCTTTTTTTTATTTTTGAGTAAACTAATGAACGGATTTTAATGTAGTTTATCTGATATCATAGGTATTTTTAATACTTGAAAGAAAGGATAAATTTTTTTTCAATAGCATCAACGGTTCAACAATTATGCACAAAAAACGGGCTTTCGCACTGTCTTTAATTATTTATAAATAATTGTTTATAAACAATGTTCCACAGCCGGAAATCGAGCACAAACTATTGTCTCAATATTCTGACATCCTTCCGAACAACTTCCAATAATCTTTTTCCATCATTTTTTCAGTGCCCGAAACAGGCCTTTTAAAGCCTAATCCGACTGGACTCAAAATACGCTTCAGCCCGGTTTGAGGTACAAACCAATATTTATCATGGGCCAAAATAACATGTGACTAAAAATCACAGATACTTGGAACAGGTACGAGCTTGGAACAGTCACACTTGGAACCTGTGACTGAAAAGTACTGGTTTGTGGCATCCCTACCATAGAGTAAGTAAAATTACTTTACTTTCTCTATGATCCCTACTCACTATTGTATGATATTGGTATGGAGTTAATTGGTTTTGGTAAACACAGAACATACCCCCATAGCGGGGATATTTTGTGTTGGTAAAGTTCGTATTTACCAACGAACCCCAAACTAACTTGCGCATGTCATTTAAACAAGGAGTCAAGTTGGCTAAAATGCTAGTGTCAGTTCATGTCGAACCACGGCAGAGATGCCAGGTCTACCGATTTGTCAAGGAATCTACCGATCTATCGATACGGATTTTTACCGAAAAATAATAAATAAAATTTAAAAAATTTACAGTGGATGAAATATTGAGATATGGAGATGATACATATTCATGTTTCCAATTTTAATGAATTTTATTTGTAACTTGCTTATTCTGCCTCACTCATCAGTCAATCTAGAACGGGTATTTCCACAAGTTAATCTAATAAAAACTAAGTTGAAAAATAAGTTAAAACTAGTACAATTTCATCTTTACTTCACACCAAGAGATATATTGGTAGCGACAATTGTCATAGTTTTGAAACTGAAGATAAGCTTGTGTTATCTATGAATGAAAATATCTTATATAAGGATAATTTGGAATACTGAGGATATTTTTATTTAAAAGGAAGAAGTGTTTAGTTCGTGAAATTAGTATTAATAATTTTATTAGTAATATTTATGATGAAGATTTTATTTTTTTGTGTGTTTATTATTTTATTTTTGTTAACAATGTGTTGACCTTTTTAAAGAAATATTATAAATATACCTATTGACACCTATGCTTATTTTAGTATTGCTGGAAGTTCATAAAAATTCAAGTTTGCAAAACGTGCGATTTTGTGGAGCCCTTAAAAATGAAAGAAAAATGAGTCTACTGACTTTTTACGATATCTACCGAAAGATGTCGAGCTTATCTGTCGAAATTCGATTTTCGGACCTGGCAACGCTGGACCACAGACTGTCAGATCTGTGACATACATATGGAGATCTATGGTTAGACCACAGACTGGTTAGACAGACACAGTTAAAGAGAAGTGGTCAGTGGTGTGTTAAACGTGTGGGGTTCCTAAGTTGAACCTGAACTACCTCCCTGCTTTTAATCAATTGGTTTAAATGTAAGTACTGCTTGTATTTTGAATTATTACTCTAACATGTTTTGCTTTGTTAACAATTTGTGTCAAAATGTGCTGGACCAAATGATCTTTTATTTGCCATGTTTGTTGTGCAATTGTTGTGGATAATGGCGCACTTTACTACCTACTCATCCTAAAGATAGTTAACTAACTGATTTCTTTAATATTAGATTATATTCGGCTAGTGAATGTAGTAGTTGTTTGCTGGATTAAGTCAAGTGAATATTTAAACTTTGTTATGCAGACAACATTGGTGTAAACTGGCCCACATGGCCTTGTGGTATCACAGTAAGGTGCTCATGTACTTTATGTTTTTCGGATGTTTGCGTTCTTTTTCATTTTGCCTTTACGTACACTTAAACGACGGTAGTTTTAGTGCAAAAAAAATCGGATTGTCCATAGAATCATAGCTGAAAATATTTATAAACTTTGTGCAGCGTTGCCAGACTGAACCGCGACAAAGTGTTGTAGGAGAAAAAAAATAATTCTAAGTAAACCAATCCAATACTAAAACAAATTAAACTAAGCCAAAACGGTTTCCTTAATCAATATATGGCATTTGCTTAAAGGGAATTTGCCTTCTCGCAAAGTTCAAGTATAAATAATGATGCATGGATGAAATAAGTGGCAACATTGCACTCTGTTGAATTTGTGAATCACCTGGAGCCTGACATTGACGTATAACATTCCATGCAAGGGCGCTCAAAACAAGAAAAGAAAAACACGTGTGAGGAAGTAATTTAACCGCATTCAATCAGAAGCTTTAACTTGAGTCCCGAAATGTTTCAAAAAAATCGTCTATCTATGTCAAAAACTATTGCAGTGGGCAATGGATCGTAGGTTCAATTTTGTGCGTCCAATAATCGAATCAATTGTTAGTTCTTAAAACAAGATTTAAAAAAAGAAAATCTCATTTTCAATAATGGGTCGTTTGAACATGTTCAAACGACCCTTTCAAAAGTTAGAAAATGTTTTTTCTACAAGTTTATGGATGATCTGCATTTTTAGCACTATTAGAACCTTGTATGTATGCCGATTGAGGTTCCTTTTATTTGAAATGGTTGGTTCATTGTCGTTTACTTTATGTTTTCTAGGGCAAACTTGAAAATCCATTCAAATCCAATCTGTTAAAGAAGAAAGAAACCATTGTTATCAACTCTTGAAGAAAATATCAGGTAACAATAACATTGAATATTTCCTTCGTATGCAAATCTGTCAATTTGAAGTGTGCAATTATCACTCAACGATCAACGTCACTTAAATACTTAAGCGACACTTAAAACTAATCTGCTGCACCGTCCAACTTTATCATCCGCTTAACTAAGTTTCACCTAGTTCAGGAATTTTTGATAATTTTAAGGATTTCTTACCTGCCTAATTTGAAAGCTTCTGACCATAGAGAAAGTAAAATAAGAGAGGTGGCGGTATAATGTTAAAACTTGGAACCGCGTTGCGCTACAACCGGCTGACCGTCAATAACCGGAAGCTTTGCCGGTAAAAACAGGTATCTAGAAGTACAGGTGCAACAGGAAGCTAGTTAGAAGCGGGAATTTTAAATTTTTAAAGGTACAAAATACTCCGGGTACCCAAATTTCGGTGTTTACACATGTTCTCTCGGTTATTAATGGTAATAGAAAATGTGCTGTTTACTCAACAGGGTGCAAACAAATTCCT